TTTTTTTTTTTTTTTTTTTTTTTTTTCCTCCTTTCTTGGACAGTAGGGACCTGCCAGTTCCTACTTGTGGCATTCCCTACTAACGACCAACTCACTCACTCCCTCTCACTCTTTTTGTCTTATTCTCCCACATTTTCTTTTCTTTTTCTCTCTTTTTTCTAGCATGTCAAGTGTCAAGTGGTCGTTAAGGCCCTTTTCTAGCCCTTTCCTCTTAGTTTTGGCCCTTCCTATGCCCAAGGTGCAGTCCGTTATATCTCTGACTGCGATGATGGCCTTCTCATGCCCATGGGAGCTTTCTTTTACTCTTATTTTTCCCCCACAGTGGCCCCCCCTACTCCGATTTCTCCCGGAGGCCTATTTTTCACATAGGGGCTCTTTTGACTCTATTTCCTTGAGGGAGGCTGATCCGAGATTTTTCGGATTGCTCCCATGCCTCCCACTTCCAGCTTCTTTACTTTCTCTTTTTCTTTTGGCCTTCCCGTTTGCTACCGCTAGTGCTTGCACTAGCGGTGTTAATATTTTTGGTCGTCAAGATGTCGATCTTGACGGTGCACCTTGCCTTTATTATTTTCCCTCATGTGGTGCCGCCGTTTCTTCTTGGGACTTCCACATGTCCTTGCCACTTGTCCTGTCGGTGGTCCCCGGTACTTAGTCCCGTCGGTGGTCCCCGACACTTAGTCCTGTCGGCGGCCCCCGACACTTAGTCCCGTCGGCGGCCCTCGACACTTAGTCCCGTGGGCGGTCCCCGACACTTTTTGTCCCGGGTGCCATTATTTTTACTTAGTCTCGTGCGGCCCCCGGGCGCCTTTCCCCAAGGCGTCTCATGCCCTTAGGGTGTTTTGCCGCTCCCGTGGTGGCCCCGCTCCTTAGTCTTTTCTTGCGTCTTGTGCGCGTCGGTCCCTTTTGTCGCGGGCCCCCACCCTGAGGCTCCCGTAGGTGGCCCCCGTGTTGGCCCTTCATTTTCTATCTTCCTGCGGCCTCTGGGCCGTCCATCTCTCGACTTCCTCATTCCTTTGTCGTTGTCGTGTCGCGCTTGCTGGTTCAAGGGCCCCTGGACCTCAGTCTTGTGGAACTCCAATGGCCCTTCCGGCCTCATGCTATATTCTATGTGTCCCTCTTCTTGCGCTCGCTCGCTTGCCGTCGCTGGTTCTTTCCTCCTGTAGTTCTTGCCCCAGGGCACCACTCCCTCCTGTGGCCTAATCCTTTGTCTTCTCTTTCTCCTGCCTCCTTACTCCCGATTTCTCTGCCGCGCACAATTTGTCTATATCCAGTCTCTTGAGTGATGGGAAGTTAATCGGGACCCACCAGTCCCGACACCGGGCGTTGACCGGGTTTGAACGGGAGTTGACCAGGGGTTGACTGCAGCGTTGACCAAGACTGTTGACCACGATTTTGACCAAGCTGGAGCTGGTATAATCTCGCCAATCCCTCAGCCTATCCCCTCGCCCTATGGATGTGCACACACCCTGTGGTACTCGCTGAGTCAAGTCGGTCTGTCTCTTCTTTCTGCATCGAGTCTCTTCTGTCCAGGTGATAGGAACTCTGTGGATGAAGGATAGGGCCTTGTTGACCAAACCCACACGGGCTGAGTAGGGCTAAAGACTGTGTCTGACGACTCGACTGTCCCGGAGGACACGAACCCTCCCAAGGACCGGTACTGACCGGTGGGTTGCTCGGTGTGGCACGGTAGGCCCAAAATCCGAGCTGTGGGCTGCACAACAGGCCGTCTAAGTCTTGAGAGGACCTGCTGATCGCGTCGTCCTGTCTGCAACGTTAAAGAATTCCTGAGGAGTTACGGGGGATCTCCTTAAATGCCTCCTGATCAGCAACAGGTCCTGTAGTGACAGCCTTAGAGTAGGTGTAGGCTAGAGACCCTAGTTGACAGGATCCTGTCCGGATTCTCTGTAGTGTTTAGATTGAGTCAGTAGGTCTTGTCAGTCAGGGGGTAGAGTCTAAGTGGTGAGGAGTGGAACCGTTGACCGGTTGTGCAGCTAACACCATGGTTGACACACGTGGAGCGAAGAGTACTACCCCTTACACCCAGGCTCAGGAGGAGCAATTCGCTGCTATTCTGAGAGAGAGAAGAGAGGAGGAGGAGAAGGAGGTCCTCAAGCAAGCGAAGTTGAAGGCGATCGCTGAGGAGCAGGCGGCGAAGAAGAAAAAGTTGGAGGAGGAGATGTTGAGATTGCAAAAGGAAGAGGAGGAGAAAAGAAAGGCTGTTGAAGAAGAAGCGGCAGCAGAGGAGGAAGAAGTCGAAGAAGAACCCCTCGAAAGGAGGCGTAGGGGAGGAAGAGCGGAAAGCAATGACACGAAGGGAGAAGATGCGTGGATGGAGAAAAAGATTAGCGAGTGGGTAGCTAATTTATCCCTGGAAGAGGATGAGGAGGCAGTGTTGTACGTGCCTCAGGAGGAGAAAGAAGCATTCACTAGGGAGTTGGACGCGATGGAGGACCCTCTGGATCGCCAGACAGCAGAAGATGAAAAGAGATTAGAGTGGAATTTGCGGCTGGCCAGAGAGAAGAAGAGGAGGAGGGAGGAAGCCAACCGGATGGCTAGAGAGGTGGAAAAAGTCCGGGCATGAAGACAAGAGGTGCAGAGAGAAGAAGAGACCCCCGTGAAGTTAGACAAGATTCTGGGGTACCTTGAGGTTCTGAGCGAGGCTTGGCTAGAGCAACATCAAGCCAACAAGGGTCAAGAAGTGGCCCTCCACTCCATCCGGTCAGGTTTTAGAGAATTTGCGCTCGACGTGGTGACCCACGTCGGGACCGAGGTTAGAAGATTGAAGGATCGGCGCCATTTAGAGCGCCAAAGTAGTGGCAAAGGTTGAGTCACGTCCCCGCAAAGGGCCCGTAAAGCTCAAGTTCCCTGATGCATATAGTGGGAAAAAGGATGTAGCGGACCTCGGGATGGCCTGTGAGACCAGCCCCTTGGCCTGTTCTCACAGGCCTTTGTTATATTTGGGGTAGGCCAGTCCAGGCCGGTACCTCTGTCGGTACCAGCCAGTCCAGTCCAGTCCCGTCAGTCCGCTGGGGTATACCCCAGCCATTGTCTGTTTTCAGGCTCATTCCTCACTTGCACATTTTGGAGTACGTGCGTTGGAGTCTTGCGTGGGGAGCTGCGTTGTGCCATCTTGCTCCCCCTTCTTCCTCCATCTCCATCTCTGTCATTAGTGGAGCAACACACCTGGTGGGTCCGCTACATTGGTATCGGAGCGGGAACGGTCCCCGCCCCCACCCACCACACCGCACAGCAGCGAAATACTGCAAAGCCGACAGTCGGGTTTTCGGCTGTTTTTGGGGCGTTTTCGGGCAAAAAAGCGGGAAAAACGACGGGAAAAGGTGCTGCAGAAGGAGAGCTCCACGAAGGAAGCCGCATCATAACGCGTGCGCGCAAGCGCCAAGGCCAAGGCCGCCGCATGCGTGCCACACGCCCACGCTGGCCCGCTGCCCCGCCCCGCTCCCGGATTTATATTATTAAGATCCGGGATGCAACTGCTGTTGTTGGGGTTTGAACCCAGGCACTTGCGGAGCCATGCGCGTGCGTAAGCAGCCTCATAACACACTTGCCACAGTGTGTCCATGGCTTTGTAGCACGGCA